ATGGAATTTGTACTGTTTTTGACAACTCCTATTTGACGTAGCCGATGCCAAGTCATTTTTATATTTCTCTGTTTCATAGAAAATTCAATATAAGCTTTCTGCTCACGCTGTATGGCCCCTTTTGTATAATTTCTGAGTTCCTTATAATAGTCCCAGTGAGAAGGTTGACGACTTATTTTGAACTTACAAAAAGCTTTGTCGCGCAATTTCATTAGAAGCTTTATATTATCCGTGATCCAAGGTGAGAAGTTTCTGGTGACTCTAAATTCATATACAGGGCAACACATATCGAAAAGACGTATTAATTCTCTAGTTAAGAATTCGACCATTAAATTGACATTGTTGAAGGTATAAATTGTATCCGAATTAATAAAATGCAGCATATTATTAAAAAATTCATTATTGAAATGCTTCCAGGAGCGGGCCTTAATGACTCTTGGCGGATTTGAAATCAAGTTTTTCTCAAAGATGTGGCACGAAACTAAAAAATGATCAAATGTATCATGCAGGCTTAGAGCTTCATGGAAACTAATATTTAACGTTTCACTAACTATAATAAGGTCTAACAATGTCTGTGAGGTAGGAGTTATTCTAGTAGGGACATCGACTATTTGTTTCAAGTTATATAAATCAAACAATTTATTCAATTTCTGAACAGCTGTGCCTTGGTTGAGAAAATCGATATTGAAGTCTCCAGTAATACAAATTTCTTCACAGCTAGGAATCATTTGGGAAAGAGACCCATCCATAGCATTGAGAAATTCAGTGATATTGCCTTTAGGAGGCCTCTAAATGACACCAAAAATGTGTACCTTGCCATATAGTTTAGTGTGTATCCATAACTGCTCCAAATCCTGATTACTACTTTTATGTAACGTAAAATACTTAATGTTATTTTTCACATAGAACAATAAACCTCCTCCCCTGCTGTCTCTGTCTACCCTCTCTACCTGATAATTATTCACTCCTATAGCATCAGAGCTGATATTCCTAGACAGCCATGTTTCTGAAACACCTAAGACATCTACATCAGAAGTTAAAATGTAATTTTTTAATGTTTCTAGTCTAGAAAATATAGATCGAACATTTAAATGTGAGAACAGCATCGCATACAAAAGAAAATCAGTAAGACATGTTTGATACCAATGAAATCAAAGAAAGATACTACACATTTCTAAGATATACAGATAAAACAACTAGTGATGATTGAACATGATTAAGAAATCCAGATAGATCAGTAGCGTCACAACACTTAAATTATCACACTTCAAATAAAAGTCGCCGTATTTCACTCAATTAGACTTGGATTGACTCTGCAGTCTAGTTATTCTCGGGGGCTGGCCTTTAGAATTGTGACATCATTATGTTGAAAGAAGTCTATCGTGACTCTTGCAACATGTGGTCGGGCATTATCTTGTTGGAAAGTTGGATCTGCCAGGGTGTCAAGATAGGGTAAACGATGGGGTTCTAGAACTTCGTGGATATAACGCTGCGCGTTCACGTTACCTCTGATGAAGATTAAAGTTGACCTGGAACCATAAGCTATAGCACCCCAAACCATAACTCCAACAGTGTGATGAACATGTCTTTCAACAAAAAACTGTGGATTCCTCCTTTCACCACGTCGCCTTCTAACCCTGGCACGACCATCGTGCATGCCTAAACAAAATCGAGACTCGTCACTAAAGGCAATACTGTTCCATTCCTGATCCCAGAGTGACCGTTGTCTGCACCACTCAAGGCGATTACGTCGGTGTTCTCGAGTTAAAGGGAGGACCCAGTGTGGCCGGTATGAAAACAAGCCAAAACTTCTCATTCGTCGGTAAACACTTTGCATGCCAATAGGTCTTCCGTGTTCTGCAAACCATTCATTTGCAATAGACCTGGTAGTGGAGAAACGGTCCCTTAAGGCCAATAATCTTAGGCGGCGATCGTCACGGTCTGATGTTCTACGGCGGCGTCCAGTGCCCCTTGCTCTTTGCGTACGGCCTTCTCGAAGCCATGCCTGACAACACCTAACCACAGTGTCTACACTTCTTTGCATTCTAACTGCAATTGCCCGAAAAGAAAGTCCAGCTTTCCGAACTCCCACTATACGGCCCCTATCAAACTCACTAAGTTGACGAAATCGTACAGGTCTCCGTACTCTAGGTATCGTAACCGATCGTAAAGGATGTCAAGAACCAAAATCCGCCAACGTTGATTCTTTACTGCGGCTGAAATATTCATTTTTAGAGCGTTAGTGAATTAAAAAAAAGCAGTATAAAAATCGGAATGTCCAACTGATAAGGCTGAACATTTTTTCACTTGTTATTTACAGTAACATAAATACATTCACCAACTTTTATTAAAATAAAACCATTTAAACTGGTGGTTCGGATTTATATGTCACTTAGTATAATTATTTCTTATCTCTCTCATTTTTGAAATTCAGCAAATTTGCATATGTAATTTCCAGAATGGATAAGAAAAAGTGGAAGCGCAACTAATTTCTAACTTTGAACCTCAATTAAGTGTATCTGAGACAAAAGTCCAATGGAATTATCATCAAAACATACAACTTGCAGCTTAGACCTTCAGTAATGCGATCTCTGAAGCAGATTTTACACCACATCAGAGCCAAACGTTGATAATAGAAGCATCATGACGTTTCGGCAACACGTATAACTAAGTGCTAAATTAACAGCTTGTAGAAAAACCTACATAATGTCAAAGAAAAACAGTATGATGTCAAAAAAAAATCGATATAACGTCACTTCTCAAGATACGTAATACCCGTGCCGGTCCTTTTACCACAACATATCATTATGTAATATGTAATTTACATCTATCAGTAATCACATAATCTTACAGCATTTGCAACGTCTAATTAAATAAAATAAAAATACGAGTTTTTCTTTGCCATCAGATACACGGTGTGCTTTTTTTTTCGGACCACATGAAAAAATGAAGTTGACGATGGTTTCTTAAAAATGAAACGTCGAGCACAAAATTTAAAAACACCATCATGTGGTAGATTTTGTATATGTCTTAATATTGTTGCGATACCGATAAAAACGAGATATCTAGAAAAATTTCATTACTTCCACAAGATATTTGATATTACATCACGACCATGACTTTTCCAACTCATTTTGCAGATATTTGAAAGTATGTAATTGCCTGGTGTTAAATTGCCAACCTCAATTAGCGGATGCGACAGACAAATTGGGTTCAGATTAGTCCATCCAAGTGGAGTAAGGTCAAATATTTACCTTCTGTTAGATAACATTGAAAGCCGTTTCCCAACAGTACGCTGATTATTGGGGTATTCAAAGACAACATGAGGAGCTATATTCAACATTACGTATTTCTCAATCGTTTTCCAGTGTTTCGAAATATAAAGTTAAATTTTCAAACTGGCGTAATGAAATTGACAGGATACAATTTTAATTGACATTATTATTTACCTAGGTATTTTTGTTTTTTATTATTTGCCCAGTGAGAGAAACGACACTTCTCAATAGTTCAATAATGGTGATTCCTCCGGTTAGTAGTGAAAAAAAAAATAATTATGCGATGCATAGTTTCTTTAGCATCCTGTGACAGAGATGAAGGTCTCCTAAAATGGAAATGATAAAAGTGTACATACAAATTAGGAAGGAACAAAGAATTCAAGTAAATTACATTAGATACTTGGAAATCCCAATTAACTTTGAAGTAATTTATCTCGATATTCCCACGTGTTTGCTCAACGCTTAAAAACTTCTCATGGAACTATTAGCATGGACGTTGTACTATGGCAGCTTGGAGCACTACCTACTACAGTCATGTAGGAAAATGCAACTCAAATTAGATGAAATAATAAGAGGGATAAGGAAACGCAGCAGAGATAAGTGAGGTTACGTAAAATATCAAATTGAAAGTTTCAACAAAACGGAGGTCGTTAGATCTCCAATACTGCTTTCTTTCCAGTACGAAATTGATTTTTCCAATCCATTAGGTTCGACGTAAACACCTTCATATTGTTGCGTTTTTCTGGGTTCTTTTGGGTGTGGATTAAAGCACTGGATTCCACAAAAAGAAATGCACTAATTTATTTAACTTAATAGAATATTTATGTACACCTCTATTTATGTCTGGCTAATTCTTATGTCGCCATTGACTGCACTATACTCCACAAATTCGCCAGTAACCTTTCAAGCCCTTGATACGATACGTGTCACAGAGTCCGTTCTTATCTGACATTTACTGCCTACCCAACTAGCAAAGTAGTGCTATACCCAACTAACAATTATCACTCCTATTAGAGTTGCAAGAATGATTATACAGTATTCCTTACACAGCATTGTATACTGTAAGAACATTGGCAAAACCCTCTTAGAACAGCTATACAAGCGAAATGGGCACACCTAATAGGACACTTCGGTCATTTAAGAGGTTGTAGCCGCTATAGGACATTTGCGTCAGTGCAAGATTCATTTTTTGTCAACTATACAACTATTCTCTTACGTGATTCTACTTTATTGCAACCAAACTATTTCCTATGTATTGTATAGACGAAGTGAAGAATATATAACTATGGTGGATACCAAATAAAACCCGATGCACGTCATCGATCTGGAGCTGTGCGCTGTTGCCAGAATTTGCACATTTTCTTTTAAGCAAATAAATTTAATAAAATAAATTGTTTATATATACCTACCATTTACTATAATACCATTATATTAAAAATAAATAAACTTGTTGTAAAATTACATTCCTTTCTGAATAAAAACACCTGATTTTGGTAGATATTCAATGATATGAGCTCTTTACACCGACTGTTAAGTTGTTTTGGCATTTTGGATACTTTACACCACTTCACAGTAACTGTTGTTCTGAAAAGAACAATTTTTAATTGGCAAGGCAACGATTCAAAGCTCAAATAGCGCAAAACTCACAAACTAAACAATAAAGAACTAATAGTACGACAAAAGGACAATGGCAACTGATGTCAACAAATGAGAAGTGGCAACCTCACATTTCTCTGCACGGCACTACCAACCGAATCGAGACGGGGAAATTTAAACTTCAAGTAGAAATGTCACATTGAATGTAGTCAACTGTTGGTAACCATGATTTTTATGAATGACATCACCTATGACGTGCATCGGATTTTATTTGGTATCCACTATAACATAACACATTACAGTCATCTTGTTTAGTTACATATCGGCCATTGTGAATTTCATACACAGGTATATGATAAATTTCTACACTTTGATATAGGGCTATTGAATTACTTGCGCAGCAAATTTTATTGTGATTATCGTGCAAATTAGTTACCCAATTTCTACGGGCTTCGTATTTGATTCATATTTTGACAATGAGATTTTTAAGATGGAAAACTGAACTTATCTGCGTTAAATCTTCCACAAATCCTATATTTAGACACAATTACACTAATGTTTATCACTTTATATCTGTAATTTCGAACTGAAACATAATTATTTAATATTAAATAGAGGAATAAATGTTTGCCCAATATGGCGGGTGGTTGTGTACAATCATGGCATCGTCCATGTTGTCTTTAGGTTATTAGAATATTTTGGTGTTGCCTGCAGGTGTTATAGTTACAACAATTTGACAAATGTCTGAAATGAGTCGAATGATTTACCCAAAATTTGTACCAGATCTATATCTTCTGTTTGAACAGTTGATAAAACCTTTTGAACCGATATGCATGCGTTGTTTGTCTCATATGTAACGGTTGTATAAGTGCTTCGGTGAGAGCAATTTGTTGGCTAATGTAGTAAATTGCACAGCAAAGCAACAAGGCTCGGGTTTGTTTTATAAACGTTAGCATGGGTGCCACAACACAACCATTTTGACTAACTTGCAAATATGCCGTATAAAATAGTTGTATAAACGTTTATGCAACAGTTAAAAATTTGCCCTATAAGGTGTTGTATAACTATACTATAAGAATATTTTAAACACCTCATTTTAGACCAAATATGTTGCAGAAAGCAAATTTGCATTCCACACAACATTAAGCCAGCATTTTGGTGTTCAGGCAACAACAATAGAGAGCTTTTATGGCTGAACGGTTCTTTTACCAAAAGCTTATACCAGTACTTTGCTAGTTGGGTGGGGGCTCAACTGGGATCCCTCGTACAGTGTGTGTGCTAGAAGAAAGAGTATTCGGTGGCGCTAACGTTTCGAAACTGTACTTAATCCATAGCTATTAGAAGTGTACCGAGCATCACCACCGCACCGGTCACTATAGAGTTTTTGAGGGATCCGCCACTTCTGCCAGCCAAGGGGAGATAATCCAACATCCACGAACGACAAGAGGCGACCAGGGCGAAGAAGTCCACTGGCACCCGCCTGGTCAGAAGAAATAACGCCGCTTGGGCCCGAGGCCAATAGCAGAACTGGAAGAACCAGGAGAATGCAGAGAATTTGGGCGCTTTCCACTATCGAAACGTCCAAAGGTCAACATCTAGCTTGGGAAAGCCAATTTATCGAGGACGCCAGCCTACAGCTGAATGTTAGAAGTTCGGGACGGAGCAAGAATGACGATTATTCTTATTTTCACTCTGTAAGTCCCTATCTTTGTTCATTCTTGCTCTTGGTGTGCTCATTTCAATTTCACATTTTAGTCGTTATTGATTTATAGATTTTTACTGATATATTAGTACTATTGCTATTATTGACATATACAATGTGTTTGGTCAAGACATACCGATATTTAAGGGGGGATTTCTCAGCTATTTTTATCGACAAATCCACCCCCCTACAATGTCCTACCTCACCCCTCTTGAAATGGCAACCATTTTTATTTTTACGTTACGATTACACTAGTGCATGTAAGAAAATTGTAATAACTGAGTACATAAGTCTTACAGAATGATAAATTTGAGGTCATTTGAACGATAAAATATTGCCCTGGCAATTATTGAAAAACTTGTATTGTTACTAACCGTCAAACATACTTAAAAACAGACAAAAACAGAAAAAAATATGCAAGAAAATTGATTATTTTGTGCATTTCCGCACACCATCAAAAACTAGTATGTGAAGTTGTACTTTTTTATGCTAATTCTGCAGCTAACTATGTTATCTACAGAACGACACCAAATTTGTTACCCTAAGTCTTAAGTAAGAATAATAAAATGCAAATTGCTCTCAAACTTTTTATACATAAAAATGACAAATCAATGTTTCTCATGAAGAGTGTGGACATGATCAATGTTACAGAAGCTGTTCAAAATGTCCTCCATTATTGGTTATGCACATTGTTGCTCTTAAAACCATGTGTCGTGTTGAGCGGCGGACTATATCCGTGTCAGCTCTAATTCCGTTCGCAGCGGTATGGATCCTTTTCACTAGCTCTTTCCATGTCGCCGACACATGACAGTAAACTTTTTGCTTCATTGTGCCCCAGAAAAAATAATCTAGGGGCATTAAATCGGGTGAACGGGCGGCCAAGCGGCAGTGCTTCCACGACCTGCTGCTCATCCAAATGTTCTCGTACAATTCGCGCAAAGTGTGCGGGAGCTCCGTCAAGCTGCAACCGCATGTTGCGGCGGTTGATAAGTGACAGATCATGGAGTAGGTCTGCAAACTCGGTCCTCAAGGACTTCAAAAATCCCTGGGCATCTAACCATGGAGATAGCTTAACTGGGCCGACTGAGACTCCGTTTCCTGTTGGAAAGTGCTCGGTCGAACTGTATGGGGGTTTTCCGAAGACCACAAGTGGTCGTTTCCCAAAAGTTGCAGTCTTGACGCAGCTGCCGATGAAACCAGGTGCAAACTATGAGTCTTGCTGCATAATCTGGCTCATGAAGATCCTGATCTCTTCTAAAATGATAGGGATGTAAACATTCTCTCTTAAGGACTATCCAAGCCGACCGATGTGACAAGTGTAGTCTTGCAGCGATCCTCCTCACACTAACTTTCGGATCTCTGGTAATCATGTTGAGAATCTCTTCTTCATCTTATGGAGATAGTAGCCGATAACGGTTGTTTACTGGCCTTGAATCCCATTTTCCGCTAGTATCAGGTATGTAAAGACAAAAGTCCTAACATTTTGCGTAATTCGGTCAGGAAATCGTCTTCGATATTCTCTCACAACTGCGGCATTTCCATTGCAAAAGCCGTAAACAAACACCATATCAGCAGCATGGTGATTTGAAAATTTATTACGTGGACCAGTTGACATAATAGAGACTTAGGCATGACTAATAAAATGTTCAGTCACAAATCACTTCCAACTCAAATACGTTCAGAAAATTGATATTGAAACTAGTCTGCAATGGTAACAAAAATGGACGTATGATCACAACGCTTGGCGAGGGACTACGTACAAAACACCCACTATGACATTTACAACAAATATCCGGTTATTACCATCTCGATAACGACACCTTTCGGTAGATGTTGTCTCACTCACACTCTCAATACGTTCATCTCTATACCAGGAATGTTGGATTCGGTCCGCTACCTAAATCGGGGAGGCTTGCCAATGGTCATGTTTAAGCAATATTTGTACTTAAAATAACTAACATAGGGTGACAAATTTGGTGTCATTTTGTAGATAACATAGCTGTAGAATAAGCACAACAAAAGTACAACTTCACTGACTAGTTTTTGAATGGTGTGCGGAAATGCACAAAATAATCAATTTTCTTGCATGTTTATTTCTGTTTTTGTCTGTTTTTAAGTATCTTTGACGGTTAGTATCAATACAAGTTTTTCAATAATCGTTAGTATAACACGTTATAGTTCAAATTACACCAAATTTATCATTCTGTGACACTTATGTACTCAGTTATTACAATTTTTTACATGCACTAGCGTAATCGTAACGTAAAAATAAAAATGGCTGCCATTTCAAGGGTGATGAGGTAGGACATTCCAGGGAGGTGGATCTGTCGATAAAATTAGCTGAAAAATACCGCCCTTAAATATCGGTATATCGTGACCAAACACATTGTATATACATAATTTCTACGTTTAAACTTTAATGTCGGGTGGTACAACTGATACAGGCTACCACTCGGATTCTGATTCTGATATCGATTTGCCCATAAGACATTCTGAACACGAAATGACCGAAGCCACAGGTACAGAAATAATGCTTGCCAGAGATATGGTCCCCGTGTATCACGGACGATCCAAAGATCTGCTTGATTTTATCAATAAGGGAGATCAATTTATCGATTTGCTTAAAAAACCTGTCGTTAACTGTGTGTTTAATAAATTATTGCTTCATAACATTGTGTCCAAAATCAGAGGTGAAACACGTGACTTAATTAAAAATTTAAGCTACTCGGAGAGAATTTTAGTTTCACGTTTGGGGACAAACGAAACGAATCTTCTCTAGCACAGGAATTGGCACGAATGTACCAATTTCCTAAGGAAAATTATCAAACATATTTTGATAGAATTAATGGTCAGTTACAAAAAATTTTGCAGCATATCAGGCTACATGATACTTCACATGAATTTAGCGTGAAGGCAAAAATGTACCAGGATCATGCTTTAAATAGGTTCATTAATGGTTTATGTGATCAATTTCGTTCAATTTTTGAAACATGCGAGGTGTCTAGTTTATAAGATGCTTTATATAAATGCCAACATGCAGAAAATTTTAGATATGAGGGTTCAGTCACAAATTTTTTGCGAAGCAAAAATGCTTCACACCCAGATAAATCCGAAATCAATCTACGTCCACAGTATCGTCCCCAGTTTTCTGCAAAAAATAATCAATTTTCCAGTAATTCTTAGAATGGTCTGAGAACACAGAATTACATTCCTTCCACGAGACCAAACTTCCAATTTTTCTCAAAATTCCATTCAACTTTCTAGGCCCACCTTTCAGCCCAATCTGCAAAGATTACAAAATGTTCCAACTCCTATGTCAGTAGATCGTTCAACGATACGCCCTAGTATCCACATCGGTCTAACTATTTCCAAAATACAGGAAAACCGTCTTATATTGTTGAAGAACTTCACAATCAAGATGAATCTTCCACTAACTACGACAATTTTCAAACTTATAATGACTATATCGAAAACGATTACGAACAAACATCTTGTGATGATCATTACAACCTACATCAAACTTTTGATCGACTAAACCCAGAAGAAAGTTTGACTATCCCAGCCTCAAACGAGGACAATCCATATGTGACATAAACAATGTACATAATTTATCCACGTTGCCATGTATAATTATACCCAGCTTAGGAATTAGTATGTTAGTAGATAGCGATGCATCAACATGCGTTATTAATCCCGATATTGCGTATCAATATTTTTCAGAATTTATATTTCATGAAAATTTTCATATTAAAGCTCTTAACACAGTATCCGAAGGATTCGAGAATATCCGATTTCCTATGCTTAAAGACTTTGGTATTAGGAAATCTCTAAATTTTCACATTGTTAATTGGCATTCCAAATTTGACTGCTTAATAGGAGCAAGCGAATTGACAAAATGAGGTGCAAAAATAGATTTTACAACAAATACTCTGCAAATAGGAAAAACTAAAATATCGTTTATCACTGAAACACATCCTAGTTTATTTGTTCCGTTTAGTAAGCCACAGACAAATTATTTGGAAATTCCCGTAGTAGTAGAAATCGGCCCTGTTGTGCTTCCTAACATAGAGTTAGATGGATATTTTATACTCAGTTGCATAGCTACTTCTCGGAATTTCATAGTTAAAATCCTAGCACCTTTTGAAGAAACTTTAGATATCAATTTTCATGAACCAGTAGAATGTGAATCTTATCAAATGTACGATATCAGAAAACCGAAAAAGGTTATCGAAAATGTAGACCTTCCTTCAATGTTTCGTACCCAACATTTAAATAGCGAAGAAAAAACGAGAATTTTAAATTTGTGTGAGCAATTCAAAGGCATCTTTTATCATGAGGATACCGACCTTAGCTTCACAAATAATGTTAAAGATACTATTCGAATAGAACACGATGTTCCCGTTTACCAAAAATGTTATAGATATCCACATCATTTGAAAGTTGAAATTCAAAAACAGATTCAGAAATTACTGGATAACAAAATTATTAGGGCGTCTATTTCACCGTATGCGTCACCCTATTGGATAGTTAAAAAGAAATTAGATGCTTCAGGTCAGAAGAGATGGAGACTTTTGTGATAGACTATCGTAAGTTAAATGATAAGACAATAGAGGATAAATACCCGCTACCACGGATAGAGGAAATCTTAGATAAATCATATCATCATATTTTACAACGTTAGGTTTGGCTCAGGGGTTCCATCAAATTGATATGGACCCCTAATCAATAGAAAAAACTGCATTTTCAGTCGACCACGGATATTATGAATATGTAATAATGCCGTTTGGTCTAAAAAACACTCGATCTACCTTTCAAAGGGTGATGGATAATGTTAAAGAATTATTATATAAATGTTGTTTTGTCTATATGGATGACGTTGTAATTTTTTCTAAATCACTTGAGGAACATTTACAGCACATAAAAATAGTATTCAAAAAATTAAGAGAACATAACCTTCAAATTCAATTAGATAAGTCAGAATTTCCTTGTAAA